TCTGAACAAACAGCAAGGAAAGAATGCAGGCTGTCCCTTCACTCATTGAGAAAAGAGGTTCTAAACCAATAAATTTTTTTACACAAATTTACAAGGTAGATTCTTGGTCTGGGGCTCATTTACCCTACAAAATACTTAATTTTAATTTGACTTAAATTAGGACCAGTTGTCACATTGATGCCTGAAAAACGCTGTTGCAATGAGCCTATCCAACAACGGATTGCTTCAGAGAACTAACAGGCACAAACAGACAATCTGATCTGTAGCTGACATTCTATCCCCCTATTGCACAATCACTTCACCCTGGAATGACACAGCCCCGATACAAAACAACACCAGCAACCACCCCCAGCACCTCAGTGGCTCTGCTGCCAAAATCCTACCCCTGCACTGAATTCCAACTGCAGCTAGCTAGGTACAACTCACATGAGGAAGTGGGCAGAAACAAAGCAGCAGCAGCAAAGGGAAAAATAACAATGCAAATATAAATATAGACACGAAAGGCTGAATTCCAGCATCGCAGATTTAAATCAGGTGAATTTCACAAAAGCTAATGGACCTCTTCCAAAGAAAGTTAGCCTGAAATGAAAAGCAAGACCCTGATATCGCATGAAAGGGCAAAACACAGCAATTAAGTAAAAATTCTTCAAGATGATATCTTTCTCATTATGTGAGAAGTTAAGACAGCACTGTATTATGCAATCATTAATAACCAGAAACAAGGGCTCTGGGCTACAACTGCTCACTGAAGGAAGGAATGCTTTATGCTTGGAATATCACAAAATTAGTGATCAGCAAATGATTTTTTTTAATGTCCTTATAGTTTAAAGAAATGGGAGAATAAAAAAAAATCCACAGAGTAAAATCTATTCAAGGGAACAAATACTGTAAAATCACAAATAAGATAGTAAAAACAGAGAAAGAACTCCACTTCATCGCAGGATGTACTGTTTTTAAATGCACTTTCCTTCACTTTCTGTCCAGTTAATTACTTCTGCAGGTTTGCTCCAGCAAAACAATTTCACAAGCCTATCAGTGTCACATGTTCAGCTCTATCACATTTACGTGTTGCCTTCCTGCAAATCTTGCTCCAGCAGTTTTAAAATGTCACCTTCCAGCTGCCAAAGTGGGAAATGCAGAGGGGAACCTGTGCCTGAGGCTGAGCTGGATATTGTGCAAAAGGGGGAAATATAGCAGGACAGACCTATCTGCACCTTTCCTGCATGCCTTACCTGCCTAAGGACCCTGCACTGCAAAACACCAATCATTCAGAGAATTAACACTCAGATGTCCTCAATAAGTTTAAACAAAGCAAAGAAAAATACAATTTTCCCCCCAAAGACAAGTACTGGGAATTATTTGATCAAAAATAAAAAAATAATACAAAATCCACTGGATTGCTTGTCTGATCAAGGGTCAACAAGGATAGATCTTAAGCATTCAGTCTGCCCATTTGAAAAACTAAGAAAAGAAAACCAAATCACACAATCAACAGGTTTTATGAATGCTTTCCAAACACAGACATGGCTCTGACACGGATGTTACCTCACACACGTATTTCTGAGTTAAGCTGGGTTCACCACGAGTTCAGGTTCCTCTATTTCCTTCACCTACACCATCCATAACCTTGTCACACAAGCTGCTCCTCAGAAATACCCTAGAAGCCAAATTGAGAGGCTGCTAGAGGAAGTCTATAAAACGTTTGCCCTTCCATCAGTAAAGCCTCTTACACAAAATACTGTTGTGCTGCACTGAACTCCTCCTCTGCTGCAACCCCCGGTGTGTGCCACCCACAGCAGTGCCAGCAGCCGGGTTGCTGTCGCACTGTGTCCCCGAGCTCGGGCCAGCCCCTCCAGCCCCTCCGTGTCCCCAGGTGTGCCCGAGCCGCCTCGGGAGCGCTGTCCGCGTACCTGCGGCTGCGCTGGGCTCCTGCAGCGCCGGGGGCCCGTCAGGGGCAGGAGGAGGCGAGGGCCGGCAGCACCCCGCACACAGCCCCGGCACCCCGGAGCCGACACCCAGCACGGGAACGGCGAGGCCTGGCACGGCAGCCGGGGCTGGGCCAGCGCCGGGCGCTGTGCTCTGCGATGGGAGATAAGGCGGCGCCGCAGGGGCGGCAGCGGGCAGAGAACAAACCCCGCGGCCCGGCGGACACCGCACCTGCTCCTCCCGCTCGGAGGGCGTGGGCAAAAACAGCACAACCTTCCCAAACAAACGCGACATTTCGCTTTCCTTCATCTTTCTTTGTGGTATGAAAAAGACCAAAAATGTTGTTGGTTTTAAAGAATTTTTTTTTTAAAAACAAAACGGTTATTGAAGATTGGAATGTCTAAGATGAAGTCTTTAAGAATACTGATTAACTAGTAAACAAGAATTGACCGTGATCGAACTGATTGACGTGGTTAAGAGTTAGCTGAACTGCAGAAGATTTTCATTCTAATGTAGGACACTATCTTGGTTTCTAAAAAAGAAAGAATGTCAAAAGTCAACAGTAATTCAAGCTAGTGACACACACAAAAAAAAGCCTTAAGTGCCCTCAAAAGTCACCCAGCAAAAAACAGGAACTGATTTGGACATGAGAGTCACGATTATTAAGTAAAACAAAACAAAAACAAGCATTGAAAAGGGACACCTTGAAACTACGGAACCCTTCATATGCCGTTTTGTAAACGAAAAGGTCCCTCAGAGGGGAAAAAACCAAATTAAATAGAGAAAAAATGAGGGGGGAAAAAGCACACTGCGTAGTATTATTCATGCATGGGGAAGAAACAGTGAAAAAGTTCCAGTCCTTCCCCTTTGGCTTCGCTGTCGTTCTTGCACGTGATCCAGATTTTGCTAAACCAAAGCCGAGCCCGAGCCCTGGCCACAGCGCCCCAGGGCCCGGGGGTTCAGCCAGATGCCAGCACATCCAACACCGGGCAGCGGAGACGCGTGCAGAACGGACCCGGCCGCGCCCAGCCCCGGCACGGCACGGCACGGCACGGCCCGGCCCGGCCCGGCCGGGCAGGCGGCCCGCGGCAGCCGCCGCCGCAGGGAGCAGCGCCGGAGCCGAGCGCGGGGAAGCGCGGCCGGAGGCGGCGGCACAAAATGGCTCCTCCCGGCCCGCCCTCCAGCTCACCTTCACCGCGGCCGGCCGCGGCCCCCGCCCCCGGCCAATCCGCGCCCGCGGCCCCCGCCCCCGGCCAATCCGCGCCCGCGGCCCGCGCCCCCGGCCAATCCGCGCCCGCGGCCCGCGCCCCCGGCCAATCCGCGCCCGTGGCCCCCGCCCCCGGCCAATCCGCGCCCGCGGCCCCGCCCCCGCCCGCCCGCGCGCCCAATCCGCGCCCGCGGGGGCTCGGGGGGCTCTGCGCCCCCCCGCTCTGCCCGCCGGGCCGGGGGCGCAGCGCCCGTGGCACCGCCGGCCGCGGGGCGGGGAGCAGCAACAACAACAATAACAACAAACAACAACAACAACAACAACAACAACAGCAGCTACAGCACCGCACACCGCAGGACACGCACCGCCGCGGGCCCCGGGGCTCCAAGGTGCCCACAGCCCTTCCCCAACGTGGCACCGCCGCCGCGCTGCCAGCAGAGCCCCGGACGCTCTGTCACCTCCGCGGCGACTTAACGGTGCCGGCCTACCCCGCGCGCCGGCCTCGCGCCCCGGCTGTCCCGCAGTGGCCTCCGCGCCTTCCCTGGGGGTTCCCGGCCCGCCGTGGGGCACCGCACCCCTCGCCCTCCCAGCCGGGAGCGCGCCCCGCCGCCCCGCACTCACAGCCGGGAGCGCTGCGCCCCGCGGGAGCCGCCGGGGCCGGGGGGGTGGGCGCGGAGCGGAGCGATCCGCAGCGGTGCAGCGCGCTCGGGCCTCTCCGCCGGCGGCCGCGCTGCCTGCGCCGCTCAAAACAAAGGGGCTGGCGGGGCATGTGACCTCCGAGCCACCGCGCATGATGGCACCGCCCCGCGCGGCCCTGGGAGCTGTAGTCCTGCCGCCCCGCCCGGCGCGGCCCCGCCGCCGTCGGCGCCCCGGGACGCGCGGCGGGCAGGCGCAGCCTCAGGGCCGATGCGCGGCAGCACCTGCCGTCGCCGCCAGCTCTTGCCATCGCCGTCCCTTTGCCGGGGCAGGGGGAGCACACCCCACGTACCCCACAATATATCCCACCCACCCCGCCCCGCGAGCGGGCAAAAGCTTCAGGTGCATGGAAGCAAGCGGCTGCATCGGGAGGGCACCTTCCAGCGGGACGGTCTCTGGTGCCGGCTCTAGGCAGCCCTACCGAAGCCCTCCAGCAAGAGAATAACACCCTGTCTCGGGGTGGGTGTTCAGCCTACGTGACCAAAACAAAAACCATTACATGAAAAAAATTAACCAAGATAGAATCTTTGTCTACCTGAGCTACAGCTCCACCCAATTAATTCAGAATTTCCAGTTCCTCTTCAACAGTAACACAAAACAGAGTGTCCCTGTCCCTGCTGACCACGGAAAGCCAAGGTCATCTTTAAGCCGGGACGCTTAAAAGAGAGCTCTGCTGTCGCAGCTGGGGGTCCCAGTGGTGGCAGCCAGTCAACTGCAAATATAAAAGCAGGACCCTGGTGTCATCGCCCTGTAATTTCAGGAGCAGGTCTGAGCCTGTCCTGGAGCCCAAATTCACTTCATATCCGAAGTATTTGGACACTGGCCCATGCTCCAACACAGGCTGATGGAACATGCCTGGGAGTATGGAAATTTATTTTTGTTCTGCCCTTTAGCATAAGCAAACTTGCGAGCCCATAATGCAGAGCAGCGAGGCGAGGGCAGCGACGTGCATGCTTAAATTAAGATCATTACCTGGTACTCAATTAGGCCTTATGCAACGCCGTGGAGCTGATGTGGGCAGCTAACTGGCTGTGCTCTCCTTCCTAGAAGGATGACCTCCCCCTCTGGCCCCTTACTGCCGAGGGAAATGAAGAAATACAAGTTCTTCTATTAGCTCCCCCCTACTTTTCTCTCCTAAATGTTGGATATCAATCCCAAGTATAATGTATCTTTCTTTACCTTTTGGTGAACCTCCCCAGTCTTCTGACCCCAGGATATTCCCAGGAAGTGCACCCAGCCGTGTGCTCCTGGCAGTGGCTGACTGTGCTCTGCCACTGAAACTTGAAGAGGAGCAGTGTGTGCTCAGGACTCCAGGGCTGGCCCCCTCCGGAGCAAACCAGGCTCAGATTTTCATAGGTTAACAAGCTCTGATTTCTCCCGGGGTCAGGTAAATTGCAGCTTTGCAAAGCAGTTAGAATTATTAATTAAAATTTAAAAGGCTCAGTTCTGAAAATAGACTGAAAATGTCTGCAGGATTTTGGTAAGTAAATTGTTTTCACATAGATCTTAAACAATTGAAACCTTCAATTATTCTCCTGCAGAGATAAAACTCAGAACGGCTTGACTTCATTAAAAACGAGAGCATTCAGTCAATTTCTCATCCTCTGCCTGGAAAAGCAAGAAGGACCCCAAACAACATAAACAGCAAAGAGAAAATCAGCAACAAGTTCACTTCGTAGAATACAGGTCTGTTGCAATAACGTGTTTCACCCACTGATTATAGGAAACATTCATAACCTAGAGTCTTACTTGTTACAAAGACATTAAATCTAAAAGTATATGACATAAGAAAAATGTTTTGCTTAAAATAGATTTCTTATCCTTTATATCCCTTGTCTCCCCCAGTTCTTTGAGTCTGTTACTCTTGGGGTCAATATGAGTATGTAGAGTTCACGTGAGAAACCATAACCGGGATTAAAGGAATGAGTCAGAGGAAGGAAAAAGTCAAAACAGGATCAAGATACCTCTGCACTGGCTTGAAGCAGCTATATTAAAGGGACTATGTTTACTCCAATAAAAACTGCACGTGGCAAAAATATCTTGAGTGAAGAGGGTAAATGGAGCATTTAAAAACAAAATACTAATTAAAAATACCCATTGAGCAATCAATCATTTCATAATGTGCTCATGTATGCATGTGGTCACATCCAGGCACTTCCAGTTCTGAAAGCCAACGTCACTGAGGATGTCTGAAATTAAGGATACTTGAGTTGCCACTACATCCTATTGCTCTTCATTCCTCTGCTAGCAGGGACATTGGCTGTTCTTTGTCAAGCTGTGCCAAGCATTTCTCTCAAAATAAGCAGTTGTATGCTGCCTGAGAAGCTGAAACCAATTATTAAAGATTACTCATTTCTATAAAGCCTTGTTAATACTTTTTTAACAATGTAAAGTACTTGTAAAGCATTTAGGCCAATGTTTTCCGAACAGGTCGGTGATTTTGGAGACTTTGAAGGCTTCTTCAGGGCACTGGAAAGGTTAAAACCTAAAATTAGAAGCCTGCGTGAAGGTTTTGGCATGCATCCACCGATATTTTTCTGGTGGTGTTGGATTTGAATACCACTGCTGGGCACTTTTCAGACACATTTCATTGATGCACTGGGCCACCTAAATGGTCTGTGCATTCCTCCAGGTCAAGGTATTGGCTGTTTTGGGAAGTTTGTGCCAGTATGCTTCTGGGAAGTTCCCTCTGCTGTGGGGAGTTGGGGTAGCTCCTTGCCAGATTTTTCTAAAATTGAGGAAAACCCAAAAGTGTTCAAGTGGCTCATACACAGAGAAAAACCTCAAAGAAAGTCCATGATTACTTCTCTGCAACAAATATGCAAAACACTCTGGGGAAGGGCTCAGATCTGAATGAGGGAAGAGGTGAAGGTGAGCCACAGCAACCAGAGGAGGAGGCTGAGGAAGAATAGGAGGGAGAGGGCAGTCTAAGAACCACGTCCCTTACCCTGATCACTGATCAGAGAGAAAAGAGCTACATGTAACTTGGACAACATTAAAAACCCTGAATGCAACATGGGGAGAGTATCACTGGTAAAAGAGAGGATTTAGACATTTGAGAAAGATGAGTACAGACTGACAACTAATGACCAACACAAGGAATGTTACAAAGAGCTGTGCAAAAAATGGAGCAGAGATGAAAAAACTACATCAGTACAAGGAGAGAGAACAGATCTGACATTTGTATGAAAAGTTTTAGTGGTCAGAAAGCTTAAAAAAAATTGTTGAGTGACATCACTGCAGAACCTGATGCAAGTGTGCATAAAACGTAATGTCAGAAGCCAGTCAGCAGGATTACAGTGTTGACCAAAAGGAAAGGTGACATTACTAGGAATTTGTGAGGAAAAGCAGAAGAGTGAGTTCAGTAACTATTGCAGAATCTACTTTTTGAGTATGCCAGAAAAAAACATTAAGGTGCAGTAAGTAAATGGGAAGAGATGAATGGAAATAGCATTTTTAAAAAAGACTGGATGAAATTAAGATGAAGGTACAGCAAAGTCTCTTCATGTGATAAAGGGGCAATTCTCTTCTCTATTCTGCTCTCGTGAGACCCTACCTGCAGTACTGAACACAGCCATAGTGTCCCCAGCATAAGAAGGGTATGGAGGCCACAAAGTTGATAAAGGCTACCTTCCCTGTGAAGACAGGCTGAGAAAGTCAGGGTGTTCAGCCCAGAGAAGAAAAGGTTGTGTGGAGAACTCATGGCAACCTTTTGGTACCTGAATGGGCTGCTGGGAAGGCAGAGAGGAGCCCTTGGTCAGGAGCTGTGGTGACAGGACAAGGAATAATGGGTTCAAACTGAAGGAGAGGAAATTTAGGTTAGATATACAGAAGAAATTCTTTCCTGTGAGGTGGCTGAGGCACTGGAACGGATTTCCCAGAGAAGCTGTGGCAGCCCCATCCCTGGCAATGTTCAAGGGGTCCCTGAGAAACCTGGTCAAGTGGAAGGTATCCTGGCCCAGTGCAGGGGGGTTGGAATGAGTTGATCTTTAAGGTTGCTTCCAACACAAACCATTCTCTGATTCCATAATTCTTTTATTCTATGATAAAAGACATCTCACAGAAATACAGAGACCACACTAAAATTTTCTAAAATTCTTCCCATGACTCTGGATTTTTTCACTGTCCTGCCAAAAGTCTTATGGATAATATTGACTTGAGCTGGTCTGCTGGGATAACCAGCAGGTACACCCATTTAGGCTGTGGAAGGCATTTTTCCAGAACCAGACCCTTTCAGCCTTTCCTCTTCCCATCACCTGTTTGAAATGGCACCTGCACCAGGAAATGTCCTCTGCAACACGGGTTCCTGAGCTGGTACTAGCATTGGAACAGCCCTGGCAAAAAAATACTCCTCATTTCTAGTTATTTTTGCCATTTTCAGTGCCTCCTGGCTGGCTCTGTAGGTCCTGCAGACACTTGTGTTTTGGACACTCATGCTGTACATGGTAGCCCTCTGCTCAGGCTGGCAGTGCTTCCCTGGGTGTCTCTGCTGCAGCAGGGCAGGAGGATGGGAAGGAATGGGGCATTCTCCAGAGCCAGGCTCCATGCTCAGCCCTGCATGCCCCATGCCCAGCTGGGTGCTGTCCCACTGCCTGCAGGCTCAGTGCTCACTCCTCAGCCAGGGAGCCTCTGGAATTACACTGGGTTACTTCCAGTACACACAAAAGACACAGTAAAACATCAGCATTGTGTTTACATATTCAGCACTGCAATTAGGATTCCCTATCCCACCCTGGTCCTAGGCCAGCCCATGCTCCTATCCCATGTAAATCCCCTCTCTTCCCACTCATCCCAGTGATTCCCACCCATCCACTTCTCTAAGCACCTCAAAACAAGGCCCATGCCAACAGTCCTCTTGTGCAGAAAGTATGTGTCTAATTTTTTCCAGCCAGTATCTCCAGGTTCCAAGCCTGGGAGATGACTATGGGAGTGTAAATTGCAGAGCTGAGAAGAATGAACATTGCATCACTGCTGCCATAAACACTGAGCTATTTCTTTTTGTATCAGAGTATCGAGGCACCATGAAACCAATGCCTAGCTGAGGAGATAGTCAATTGTGCTGTTGTTTGTCTGGTTCCTCTCTTTGGGGAGAAGTAAGAAACAAAGAAATGAAAGATATTTCAATTTTTGTTGGTCCCAAGGGTCATGACTTGAGGGAAGTTGCTCTTGTGGAATGGCAGACAGACACATGCAACCACTAACCCAGCAAGAGAGTAGCAGGTACTTACAAAAACAGTTCCCTGAGCCCGTGTGGTGTTGTTACTGTGTTCCCACTCAGCCCCGTAACCTCAAGCCCAGCCACAGCCCCACAACTGTTTGCATTAAATATTCTCTCACAGCAGTATTTTTTTCATACATCCTTACCCCACAGGCCATCCCTTTATGCCATGCTGCCACAGAACACCCTACGGCACAGCTCCAGCTCTGCCCTTCAGCCATAAAATAGTTCTCTCCTCAAACCATTTGCCAATGCCATGACCAATTAATAGGCAGGAGCATTGCACCTCTTCATCTCCAAGACCTTCGGGCTTTTCACAAGTTAAATGAATCCTTTCTATTCTCCAACCCAAGTAACCATGAAAACTTTGACAGTGAAGAAAATAGGTTGCAAATACACAGTTATTTTGAATGGGCATATGCATGGCAGTCTCCCCAAATAGAGAATCTCATACTTTCAAAGCTATCAGAGACCTCCAGGCTTGCAGATCCCTGCCATCACCTGCTTCTGGTGCCCCTCTGGCAATAGGCTGAGGAATAGAAAGTTTAGAAATTGGTTACCTTGGACTAATACCCTTGCTACCCCTAAGAGCGACAGGGGACACTTTCCAGTTGCAGGAGCAGTCTGTGTGCCAAGGTCCTCACACTGGCTGGGCTGCTGTGCCTTTGGAGTGGTGCTTGGGCAAATACCCACATGACTTTTGTTATATTTTTGTCTACACCTTCCCATTTTTCATCAAAAAAGCTTCATCAGTAAAGTTAATCCAGAAGAGGTAGTTCACTAGGAGTTCTGTGATTTCTTCCTCCTCTGCTTGCAGCCAGAGCTGCTGAATGGCTCAGCACCTGCATTCTAAGACACACTGAGCAACTGCTCTGTTGCTGGCACAGGGGTGCCAAGCAATCTCTGTCCAGGCTGACTTGGCTCTCCAAGGATGGAGGAATCATGGATGCCAGAAGGAAAACTGACAATTCTGTCCTCAAATCCCATGCTTCCTACTCCCTGCACCCAGGAGAGCAAGCAGCACAGTAAAAAGCCTCCTACTACCCAGAAATCACTGCCTGGGCTCAGCAGTCCAGCCTTCCTAAGCTGAAAGCTGCTGCCTTGTCTAAAATGCTGCCTTGGGCACAGACTGCTGGGGAGGGATGTGGAAGAGCTGCTGTGCCCATACATCTGCTTTGGAGCAGCACCCAAAGTCCCAGCTCGGATCAACTCCCTGGTCACCCTCTCCTTTGTAAACAGGCTTTTGAGCACCTGTTCCGAGATCTAAAATGGGACCTGGAATAATCCTATGGAAAAGAGTTGTGTGCTTCTCTAAACAAAGCTCTCAGCTCTATTAAAATGCTCAGCCAGACTAAAGCAGCTTTAGATCACTGGTCTTGGACAAAGATTTGTCACACGACAACAGGAAAGAAAATGTTAGCCAAAGTAATCCCAGGAAAAACACACGTAATGAAGGTTTGCAGATTCCAATGCAGCAGCTAAATCAACACCTTGCTTTGCCAAGAAAACATTGTGAAATCTGTGGTTTACTCTTTGATCCTAAGCCTTCCCTACCCATCTTTTCATAAGCAGTATCATTAGACAGAAATGATTGTAAAACTAAGATTGGTTTGTCAGTGACCTTCTGACAGAAAAAGAAATTGTCTTGTCACGGGTGGCTGCTAGGCTATGCTGGCATACATTAACATGGTACTGAACCTTGAAGAAAAAATGGATTATCTAAATTATTACATGTGGTAGGATAATCTTTCTTGGTCTTTTTAATTAACATTTTTATGTATAGGATACAATATTTTGTAATTTTAAAAGGGGACAAGACTGAAATGAGTAACAAATCATTACAGTAAGCAGGAAGGAATACAAGGCAAAAACATCTCATTTCTTTAGATGCATGCTGTATTTATATTATTCATATTTTTCCTCTAAAATTAAATAAACCTAATGATGCCCTTTAACTCAGAAACACACTAATAAGAGTGTGAAGTTCTGAAGAACTTCTGTCTTTCCCCAGAGCAGATATAATGGAATTACACTGGAACAGTAAAATTCTCCATACTCTTCTTAAGAGAAAATTTTAAGAGAAAGCTTTTTCTTAAATCAGTATTGATTGGTGGAAAATTATAGTAGCGCCCCTAAAGTTAAAA